TAAGTATCCAGAATTTATCCCAATTCATTGTGTTGTTCATCGAGAACATTTAGCTGCAAAACATTTTAACTTTCCAATTGTTTTTAAATCTGTTTTAAAGATTGTAAATTATATTCGAGCAAATGCAAAAAATCACAGACAGTTTAGAAACTTTATAAATGAATTGGATCTTGCTGACGAGCCAAGTGACGTGTCATTTTTCTGTTCTGTAAGATGGCTTTCAAGTAGTGACGTTTTTTATAGATTTGTAGAACTATTAGAGCCAATTAAATGTTTTTTGATTGAAAAAGAAAAGACATTTGAAATCCTAGACGATATAAATTTTGTGCAAGATCTTTTATTTTTGACTGATATAATGCAACATTTAAAAAGTCTGAATTTGTTTCTTCAGGGAAAAGAAAAAAATATATCTGATCTTGCACAAACGATATTTAGTTTTCAAAAAAAAATTATTCTTTTTCAGAAAGATCTTAGCTTGAAAAAATTTAATCATTTTCCTCAAATGAAGAAGATGATTACTTCTAATCCTTCAATTCAGTATGATGACGATAAGATTGAATCATAATTGGACAAACTAAAGGATTTACAAAAAGACTTTCAAAAAAGGTTTAAAGATTTGCATGAACTAAAATCTTCTTTAGGATTTATAGTAAATCCTTTTTTAATTAATATTATTAGTAATGGCTGTCCAATTCCTGAAAAAATGCTTGAAGATATATCTCAATTTGAAATGGAACTACTAGATCTCCAAGAAGATCAAAATCTACTTATGCTGCATAAAACAATAACTTTTATGGAATTTTGGAAGATAGTTCCCGAGGTTAAGTATCCTCAACTTAAAAAGATTGCCATAAAATTCATTTCAATTTTTGGTTCAACGTATACATGTGAATCTTTATTCTCTACTATGAAATTTGTCAAATCAAAGTATCGTGCAAATCTAACCAACGAGCATTTGTCTGAATTACTTAGAACAGCCACTACAAGTTTGAAACCAGATTTTAAGAAACTTACCAGTAAAGTTATGAGTATTAGTTTGATCAAAGTAAAAAATTGATAAAATGATGAAAAAGTTATTTCTTGATTGTAAAAATCAAGTAAAATAATCTAATTTTAGTGTTGGTTTTTTAATTATTATTTCATTGATATAAGCATTGTTATAATTTTGTTAATCAAAAAAAAGTTTATGATCAGCATGCGCTTGTGCAAAAATCTATCATAAAAAAGATCAGTGTGTTGCACAGCACATGGCCAGTGTGTTGCACAGCACCTAATCGTGTGCTGTGCAAAATCAGTGTGATCATGTGATTGTCGAAAACTATAGAAATGATTTTTTAGTCTGAATTTTATAAAATAAATCAGATATAATGGCATTGTAAACAAAATCTTTAAGGGAATAGTTTTTTCTTTAAAAAATTTATTGAGTGTTTTAAAACAATTAACTAAATTCAATTGTATACATATTTTACTTAAATCTTTAAAAAATGATATTTTGTATCCAAGAAATATCTAAATTTCATATTAAAATGATATTGTTGAATAGTGATACAACAATTATTTCTACCCCTTAGGAGCATATGGAATTTCCTAAATAATTTGTATTTTCTAAAAATATTTCTTTAAAAAATGATTTTAAATAGTGAATTACAAATTGTTGTTTTTATATGAAACCAAGAAAATGGGCTAGTACTAGAAATTTCTTATTTTAAGGTAGTTTTTTTACTTATCTAGTACAAAAGTCTCTAAAAATTCAGATAATCAAAAGAAAGAGAATAAAAGTTTCTTATATAAAAAAACAAACATGAAGTTGTTGCGGCTCTTCGGCTCACGTAAGTATATAAATGCGGCTCTTGTGACAAAACGTTTGGCCAGCGCTGGAATATACGACATCTACTTAACGCGTAATGACAAAGCCGTCAAAAAGAAGTCATAATGACATATTTATAAACAGGTCTCAGAAAAGATGTCTTTTAGCTTTGATCTAGACGTCTTTTAATGCGTATTTTAGACTATTTATTACGCGTCTTTTAAACGTATTTTTAAACTTTAAAAAGACGCATTTTAAACGTCATGTTAAATTTGCATTTATTAAAGACGTCTAGAAGATGTCTTAAAAAAGATATCTTTTAGACGTTTTTTTAACACTTAAATAGACGCCTTTTAAACGTCATTTTAAAAACGCCTTTATAAAAGACGTCTAAAAGATGTCTTTAAAACGTCTATAAAAGTGCGTCTTTACCTAGACTAGTTTTAGACGTCTATAAGTGTCTAAAATGCGTCTTGTGCTTACTGGGTAATAGATCGTTTTTATTTAAAGATTGCATCCTGTTACCATAGCTTAAAATGAAACTATCGTTTCTCTGAAGAAAACATTTTATCTTGCCTTTTGTATATTTTTCCATGTATAATAAATTTATATATATATATATATATTATATATATATATATATATATATATATATATATATATATATATATATATATATATATATATATATATATATATATATATATATATATATATATATATATATATATATATATATATATATATATATGTATATATATATATATATATATATATATATATATATATATATATATATATATATATATATATTGGTTATACATAATATATATGTGCTTGTATATATCTTTATTAGAATGTTCGACGAATTAATTTAAATTAAAACTATAAAACAGAGCTATATATTTACATATTTTAAAATATAAAATAGCTACATAAATTTTATTTTAAATTTGCATTTTTTAAATAAATTCTTTGCATTTTTTGAAATAAAGTTGCAGAAAAAAATATATACGGATTTTGTACAGAGGGCGTGTGGAAAATTAGATGGGTGAACCGTAAGTAGTCATTCAAGAACAAAAAACTAGCAAACGCAACTATACCTTCAAAACACTTATAGAATACAAAAGAAAAAAAGAAATTATAAACAACACTTAGTTTAGCGATTCCCAAACTTTTTGTGTCGTAGACCCCTTGCTATGTTTTTCGGTTTTGGGTAGACCCCCAACTTACCTGATATTGATTTTTCGTTAATTTCTAACGGTAGTGAAGTTTAGTTTTAAAAAGGTCTAGTAAAAACACATGCTAAGTTTTATACATTTATTAATTGCATTTAAATTAAAAATACTCAAAATAAAATTGGGTATCTGCATACGTAACATAAAATAAACACAAAAAATGAACTAAGCAATAAGTAAATTTTTTTAGTGAGAAGGATGAACTTGATGTTTTAATAATAAATTATCAGCATTTGGCGCCGACTTTGTAAGGTTTAATTTTAGTTCTCCTCGGCTAATGATGTCCAGTCTGTTTCTTTTTTTCGTGAGGAGATTGGTAACAACGCTGAGTCCTCTTTCCACTAGGTACGAGGATGGAAAGGAAATAAAAAATTTCGTCGCTATATTCCATAATACGGGATAAGTAAAGGGTATGATGTTTTGCATCCAGAATTGCTGATATCCGTTTTTAAACTGAACCTTAAGCTGAAACCAAATGCTTTACCAAACCTAAATGCTTAAAAATTAAGCTACGAATGACCCAGTTTTTTTTAAAACTAATTATTTTTTTTGCGCTTTAAGGACTTCACTTTAGGAGATATTTTTATTAAAAACGTGAAACTTTTATTAAATCTGTTTTATCATTTGTTTTATCTTTTTTTTTTTATTCTGATATTAAGGAATTATTTATATGAGCCTTCAGCTTAAGTTTGTTGTTTTTTAGCCTTATTTTGCATAACTTTTTTATTTTTATGTAAATTACATTTTCGTTTTATATCATTTAATAATTTTTATTTACATCTTTTCGCATACTTTTTTCAATTTCAGATCCCAAAATGAAATGTGTTCAGTTAAGTGGTGCACAAAAGAGAAAACAAGCTAATAAAAAAGAGCACACTATTTCTGTTGTTAAAGCTACAAGCAGAAAATTAACAAGTTATTTAGTTTTAGATCAGCAACAGGAAAAACAGGATTTTACTGACACAATCGGCCCTCTTGATAAGTCTACAATAGACTGTTCTGCAAATCCAGAAACTGCAGTAGAGCTTAATAATAAAATTTGTTGTAAGTGTAACCCTCTTCAGTATGCTGAAGATGATGATAAAGATGCAGATGATAAAGATGAAAATGATAAAATTAATCAAGCAATAGATCCAGGAATGTGGATTGACTTTTCCGCTTATGATGTGGCTTTCTGGGTTAACTGTGGGCCTACTAACTGTCAGCATCATTTTGGTCCCTTTGATAAATCTTGCCGTATTTATGCTGGAGGAAAAATAACAAGATATTGTTCCCAAAAACCTTTTTATGGCACAAAAGCAAATGGTGAGCAGTACAGGAGAGAGTGGTTATTGTATTCACCATCCACGGGATCTCTGTACTGCTTTGTTTGTAAATTTTTTTTCATCTACAAGTTCCACAAGTTTCGCTGATAAAAATGGGTTCAGTGACTGGAAAAATAACATTTATGTTGATCATTACGAACAAAGCGCTACTCATAAAAACTGCATGTTAGTATACCTAACTCGTCGACATGGCTCCGGTTTACTACAAAAGCTAGAAGAGCAAATAAATGAAGAGTATAGTTACTGGGAACATGTTTTGAGGCGAGCAATAGTGGTTATTTGCACTATAGTCGAGCATCTGGCTTTCAGAGGAACAAAGGAAAAATTTGGATCTTTACAAAATGGAAATTATTTAAGGCTGCTATAGTTGGTCAGTCAGTTTAATCCATTTTTAGCATCACACATTGCGAAATATAGAAATTCTGGAAAGGGAAATCCTTCTTATTTATCCAAAACTATATGTGAAGAACTGATTGAAATTATGTCCAAAAAAGTCCGTTATTTCAGCTTGTCAGTAGACTCAATACCCGATATTTCACATATAGCGTTGTTCTTCGATATGTAGCAGATTGAGAGCTCATTGAACGCTTTTTGACTTTCTTGAAGTTGCAAAATCACTCTGGTGAAGGTATGGCTAAGCAAGTGCTGCAGTACTTACGTGAAGTTTGCAATATTGATTTTTCGAAATGCAGAGGTCAATCGTACGATAATGCAGCTAATATGTCCGGGTGCTACAAGGGCATGCAAAAAAAAATTCTTGAGGAAAACGAGTTTGCTATATACATACCCTGTGCTGCCCATTCACTAAATCTTGTAGGCAGAAGTGCCGTTGACTCCTTTTTAGAGGCAGTAAACTTTTTCCATACAGTACAACTGATCTATACTTTTTCCTCAGTGTCAACCAACAGATATAAGATTATGAAAGGATGCCTTGTGAATAAAACGCTGGTAAAGTCTCTTTCCAATACCAGATGGGAAGCACATGCTGTTGCAACTGAAGCTATCCTAAAGTCTCATCCTCAGATTTTAAAAGCATTAGAATGTATACAAGAAGATCAGTCACAGAAAAGAGACACCAGAAGAGAAGCAGAAAACATTGTAAAGAAGATGCAAGAATTAGAATTTGCTTTCATGCTTGATTTTTGGAAAGAGGTATTACAGCATTTTCACAGGGTTAGTCAGGCTCTCCAAAAAGAGCATGTAAACTTGAAAATGTGTGCTGATTTGTATTCTTCACTAGTAGATCACTTGCATAAATCTAGGAATGAAATTGAAAGATTTGAAGAAGCTGCAAAAATAATGATACCAGGTGTAGATTATAAGTCAACTTTGACCCGTAATTGTAAACGAAAGACAGTGTTCATTGGTGGTGATGCCCCTGAAGTATCTCTGAATGCTAGAGACAAATTTCGTATATCTGCATTCTACGCCATTGTTGACAAACTTGAGACAGAAATGAGTAGTCGAGGACAAGTATATAATGATGTAGCAGATCGATTTTCTTGTTTGGTCGATGGATCATTATCACAAACATCTCAGTGTTGTGAAGAACTAATAAATGCTTATCCTAAAGATCTGAACAATAATTTATATACTGAACTACAACAGTTTCATTCATATATTCGACACAAGTTTCCTGCTGCATCAAAATCGGAAAATAACACGTTCAATCATGGAGAATTATACCAAGTAATAGTTAGAGACAATATTGAGTGTGCCTTTCCAAATGTTGAAATCGCCATCCGCATATTTTCAACATTAATAGCTAATAACTGTTCAACTGAGCGCTCTTTTTCTCAGTTGAAACGTACAAAAAATCCAAATAGATCAGCAATGAAACAAGAAAAGCTCAATTCCTTATCTCTGCTGATGATTGAGGCAGATATGTTGCGCAAAATTAACTTTGACGATATACTCAAAGACTTTGCTAGATGTAAATCTAGAAAAAAAACTTCAAAATGTAAATGACAATATCTTATTGATTTTTTTGTCTAATAAAAAATACAGTTTGTCTATTATTGTTTTAAAATTTAGTAACTATTAATTTTAATTAGAAATGCTTTATTGTAGGTTTTATATGAGTGATAGTAGTATAAACTACAAGCATATTTGTTAGCAACTGTTTTCTTTTCATAATATTAAACATACCAGCGGTCACATTCAGTGAAAAATCAGGAGCCCCGGGCAGAAGGAGGCACCGACGTGGGTTTGTGCCTTGGGCACTAAAATGGCTTAATCCGGCCCTGATGGCATCAGTTATCTGTGGGCAAAATTATTCTATTTATAAGACATAAAGTTCAGCATTTAAAAATCAAAGTCAAATTTAAATCGTATAGCCTTAGATTTTATGTTAGGCATAGGTGTACAGCCATTATAAATGAATGTCAGAACAATATTATAAATATTACTTATGTAATATGCTCATGTAATTTTGCATGATTTAAATACTAAACTACCAATAACTGAAGTCATGATTCACGTAATTTGTTTATCTATGCTAACTACGATTACAAAACTAAAATGTAATAAAAAAATGCGTACTTAGTTTTCTTCGGCACTCTCAAACAAAATAACGCTGATTCACTATAATTTTATTAAAAACACAACCGTATTATATCAACTACGTCACACAACAGTCATTAAATTTTTTCTATTATAATAAAAACTCTTTCATTTCTCTTCTTCTTTGTGAATAAAAATATCGTCGAATATAAAAATTTTAATGGCATTGAATTTCTAGTTGGAGAGCAACAACAGTTTAAAAAGACCTGGTAATTAAATGTATTGTGAAAATGTTTGCTATTTTTATAATTCTTTGTAAGCTAAGGAACTCAATTTTTAATGAACGCATGCGGGTAACAAGTTTAGTCAATCAGCTAGTCACGTGTGGTGGTGCTTTGTGCGTGTCTGCTCTTCCGCGATCATTTTGCGGTCGCAATTAATTACATTTAGTGAGTCAGTGGGAGAGTATAATGTAAGTAAATAGGTACTATCAGTGTATGTTGAGATCCACTATCGCGGACCCCCATTTTCATTTCATCGTCCCCCAATTATTTATTCCGCTGGTGTAGACCCCTTGCAGGTTGTCATAAACCTCTGGGGGTCTATATAGACCACTTTGGGAATCACTGGCTTAGTTTAACATGATCAATCATAAAAAGTGTTTCCACATACAATAACATTACAAAAAAAAAATGACTACTTTGCTTTACAAAAGATGACTACTTTGCTTATACAAAAAAGTAATGATTTTAAAGTACAAAAATTCAAAGAAATTTTTAAACAAAAATGTCCAAATGTCGTCATGAGAAAAAATTACCTCCAGATTACCGCAAACCAGTAGACTACTTTTTAAAAACTGAAAATTCTCTGATGGCTACTATTTTTGAGCAATAATATTCTAATAATGTTAAAAAGTGTAATTTTAATAACTAAAAAAATATATTGCGAAGTTCAAAACGTTTTTAATGAAACTTGATTTGATTTGACTAAATAGAGATTTTTTGAATTAATGTTGAGATTCGATTTAATTCGAAATATCGAAGCTTTGAGGGGGTTTGATAATAACAGTAGCTAGCAATATAATTTTTTTAATGTTTTAAGATACTCTAAATTGCAACCATACGGTAGTTGCGTAGTGGTAGAGAGAAGTTACGAGATCAATCCCACGTCCATGGTCGTATCGCACTCAAGTTGTAAATTTTTTTTTTCCCCATGGCAAAAAATTGAATTTTTGGCCATGGGAAGGTCAATTAACATTAAAAAAAAAATCATAGTGTAGTAATATTTAAATAATCTATGTATAGAAAAATGTTCATTAACTTTATTTTATTTTTTAGAATCTGTTGTGAAACAACTAAAATCTCAGTTGCAAGAAAGTTCGCAAATTATACGCAGATTTGCACGCTTATCTGCGTTTGAACGCATCTTCCATGCACGAAAATATGCATGCATATTTTCCAGATTTTTGAATATTTGTGCATATTTTAAATGATTTGTTGCTTCGATTATAAAAAGTTATTATTATTAAACTTGTGATTTTAAACAATTTCATTGAAAAAAAAATCCTATTATATTTTATAAACACTAGAATTAAGGTGGTCCTATACCATCAAACTTGTGTCACTAACGTTTGACCTTAAAACACTTATTACTGCATTTAATAGGATGCCCAGATATAAAAAAAGAAAAAAAACTAAAAAAATTAAAAAAAAAAAATTTACGGGCTTAATAAACCATGTTGGGACCCGAAATACCCCAATTACTGTTTCCTTAATAACTTTTAAACCATATTTACTCATTGAATAAAATTTTACAAAAAGTTTTGTTTTACTATGAAGAACAATTTGAACTAAAATCAATAAAATTTACTGAGTAGTTTAAATTTTATAGATAAAAAATCATTTATATCAAAAATTTACTATAGTTACGTTAGTTCTAAGACCAAAAATTCAAAAAATACAAAGTAAAAAACTTTCATTTTAGTTCAGGTTGTAGATCAAACCTAAACGAATAACTTGGGAAATTTTTAGATCAAACTGTAAAGTCTAGAAAATTTTATTCTGGAAACGGTGAGGAAAAATAGGCTAAAATCAAAAACTGAGAAAAAACGAAAATAATAAAATAAATAGAAAATAACAAGCATTAAAATGATATTACACATAAAAAAATCAATATGCTCCAGTCATATAAGACTCACAGTCATTTGTGTTTGTCTGTTCATCAATAAAACCCTTTCTTTTAGCTCTTAAAACTTTTCTTTGTTTTTTACAGAAACTACTCGACTTCTTGTTAGCTTTTTTTATTCTACATAAATCTCGTTTTGGACCATTTATGCAAAATGAAGCTCCAGGAGTAATGTTTAAAAATTTAAATACATTATGAAGTCCATTAAAACCATCATTAAAATGAATAATTGCTGAACAAACACCAATTTTAATTATTTTTTGACTGCAATATTGACTTTTAGGGCATCGAGACCAAATCATTGCATTAAGTGACTCATTGACATTCTGGGTCATTCCATGCAAACATTTTATCAATAAACTATCAGCACTTAGCTCCATAAAAATTGGTTTTAAAATATCTCTAATAGCAGCAGGCAGTGATAATTTAGGTTCATAATTTAACCTTTCCACTTCATTTAGTTTGTACCATTTGCACCAACTATCATTGGTTCTTGGACAATATAGATGTCTTTGAGCTTTAGTATCAGACTCACTACAATGTAGCAGAACTGCAATAATGGCTTTTTTCATGCTATAAACTTCAGAGTTTTGTCTGATGGACATGCCAAAGTAGTTTTGCAGTAAGTTAATAGCAGATTCAGTTAAGCGCCCTTTTCCAACAAGTTTTTTCCCATCTACTAAAACTTGTCCTTTCATACTCTGTCGTAGTGAACGTAGTCTATTCCCAAGTCTTTTTTGTATGTGACCAACACATTCAAGTTTATTAATAACAAAATCTTCACCATATGGCTTACTCTCTACAACTATAAGAAATGAGCTGCTGTCACCATCCCCAACATAATTTTTATAACGCAAACCGTTTTGATGAATTGATCGATGAAAAATTGCTATAGCTCCTTGTGTCTCCATTGAGCCTGCTGAGCCCTTGTGGTTTATTGAACAGTTATGGCTGCTGTTCCATATTTGGTATTCATTTGTGCCTTTTTTATTACACCATGACAGGCAAGCTTGACACTTTTTTGAAAGTACTTCGTAGTCAATAACCTTATTGTTAGTACGAGATATTGCAGTAACAACACCATTAAGAGATTCATGACCTCTTTTTTGCCATGTCCCATATAGAGATACAGTACATTCAACAACTTCATCTACATTAGCTTTGCATTCCCTAACTGCATTGGTCATACTTTCATTAGCAGCAGTCATGTATGAGTTTAACATTTTGTTGTTAATTTTGTTATAAGCTTTGAGATTTATAGGATCTGTTAAACTTAGTATACGCGAAAAGGTCTGAATTGATGCATGACCTTTGCCAATTTCTCGAAATGCCAAAACACATCTAGTGTTAATGTCAAAACATTTTTGACCACTTTTATTAGGTAAAATAATTTCTTTAGAGGTAAAAATATTTTTACTCCATTGACAATAAGTACAGGAAAGTCTCATTTATTTGCCCATCCTTTCTTTTCTGTTGTTAAATTTTGAGTACACAGTCCCATACTTTGCAAGAACAAATTGATCAATTTGTTCTTGCAAAGTATAGCCAAAAAATGAGTTTAAAAGTTAGCAAACTATACTTTAAAAATGCAGTGTTAACATTTCAAAGATTCATTTTAGCAGTGGGTAAAAAAGATCAGCAAAAACTTTTTTGATTTTGAAATTGCCGTTGCTAGGGGCGTAACTATGGAAAGCATTTTCAGTACTTTGTTTAAAATTAAAAATATACCAACTTGTGCTCTGAATTTAGTTAAAACTATTAAAAAATCTTAAACTAGTATAAATTTTGCACAAAATTAAGTAAAAAAAAAAAATTGAAATTTTCTATTTTTAATGGTATAGGACCACCTTAAAAAAAATTAAAATAAAAGAGGCATTTTTAAAAAGATCTAAAGTAGAAAATTAAATATTCTCTATTATAATTTACTTTCCCTGAGCAAGTGGTTAATTATAGCAACAGGAATTATTAAATAAAGAGTACAAATTAAAAATAAAAGAATGCAGATAAAGATACAAGTTAAAAAACATGAACAATTTAAAACATAAATAGTGACTGTCAAAAAAAAAAAATTCTTGTCAATTAAACTAATGCAAATTTTAAATTTGAATAACAAGTTCCTCTGAAATAACAATAAGTATTGACTAAGAATCAAATTACTTATAAATTTTAACTTTTAACAGCAAGTATGCGTTATTATATTTGGTCCTAAAAAGACCATTTATAAGACCTTTAGAACGTTTAAAAAATGTATTTTTAGGACCAAATGGCGGCGGGGATCGAAG